TTTGCTGCCCAGGGGTTAATTTTGGCATGCCACACGCTAAGAAATATATTGCTTTGAGTCAGAAAACAGCAGGGATGCTGTTTGTCTGGAATGCAAAGAGAATTGAGCCAATCACTGCAGAAAATAAACACTGGGCTCTATGCTTTGTCACTGCTCTGGTTCTGAAGGTGGCACTTGGTCTGCCTAATCACAAAAACCAGACATTTTTAATACAGTGACTCAGCCCATGTGTGTTCGCTGCACAGTGATACACCACTGTAAAACAGTGAAGCATGATATCCAGGGGGAGATTCTGTCCCACTGGATTGAACAATTAGTGAAATTTTGCAAGCACAGCTCTCTCCTGAAAGAATTCTGACTCACCAGGATACCATGGGAAACTTGCACTGGATTAGAAAATACTTCAATCAATAAGACTCAGTGGGTGTTCCCAAATACCCATGCAAAGGGTGAGACCATCAAGAATTAGGGGACAAACAAGACAAGCAAAAAGGCAAGTATTGCTGGCAAAGGATATTCGAAGACTAGCCCCATGACTCAAGAGCTGCTAGAGGATTTGGTCTGTCAGCCTTCCAGGTCACTGCACACCAGCCTCGTTCAGGTTGTCAAAGCCAAGTAGATCTGAGCTGATCTTGTCCACTTGTCTCATCTCCACGTACCATGAGATGGCTCTTAAGAGACCCCAACACCTTCAACAGGAGACAGGTACAGAGCAGGGGTCTAGCAATATGAAAGGGAAAGCTCATCCTTTGCCCTCACATTTAGCCAGAAAAAGAAATTGTAGAGACAGTTCTTTGGAGAAAAAATAGTAGTCCATCATTTCTGTAGTGGGTGGCAACATATTCTGCCTAGTACACAAGGGCAAATTGGCATCAGAATACTTGTAAATGCCATATAAAAAAAAGAGGAATATTTAGATCTCCAGTGTGTGGCCCTCCAGACTTTGTTTTTCTTCAGAACAGATTGGAGGTTTTTGCACTGGCCTTGTAAAAAGGTGTGAGAAGGGACCAGGTGACCTCACAATTTAGGGAAGAATACTTTTGTCCTTCAATTAACAGCTGCTTTAGCCAACCTTCAGTTTGGTTGCGCTGGGGAAGGAAAAGTGGGCCACTGAAGAATGCGCCATGTGAAGAATCCAGGCAGAGAAGATCACTCAAAGGCTACATCTCTCCCCACTCATGCCAGGCTAGAAGCCCTGTAGGTATCAGACAGTCCTGCTGCCATCAGTCATGCTCACACAAGAGCAGCTTTCCTCTGGGACAAAGGGGCAGGAAGGTTCTAGCATCACCCACATTCCAGCCCCTGATGGAGAAAAGGGGAGAGTTTACCCACTATCTCCCTTCTCTGCCTCAAGTACTACACAGAGGTGAAACCTGTCTCACACAACTCTGACCAGCCCCCTGGATCCCTGTACATAAGAGAAGCAGGGAGGGTGGTGGAGGCAGTCTCTGAAAGCTCTATGTCTCACTTCGTCCTAAGGAGAGGGCAAGAAATGGGTTCAAATACTTCCAGGGTCCTTCTTTGTCATTCCCCCTCTTCCCATCTCCACCCTTGTAGTTACACCTACAGAGAGGGGCCTGAGAGACTGTCCTGCTTTCTTGCTTCATGCAGGTTTTCACCCTTCCTTTATCAAAAGCCCTCAGCCTCTTTCTGTTTGAAAACAGTTTTCAGGCTTTCTGGACTTCCCTGCAAAACGTAATCCAAATAAAAAAGTCCTATTTCTACCTCTTAGATTTCTTCCCAGACTGGCTTTGGGTCCACATCAGCAATGCTAGCATAAACAGAGACTGCAGAAATCCTCTCAGCTCGTGCAAGAGCAGCCAGCCCAGAAATCCTTTAGGATTTTCCTCCAGAGCATGCAGAGTCTTAGCCCTGAACATTTAAGCCAAAGGTCTGGTTCTCAAGCACATAAAGAGGCAAGAATCAAAGAGGTGGTGATGGTCCCCTTCTTTTGTCTTTTAGGGCAGGGAACGAGTATAGGGAGAATGAAAGGACAAGAATAAGGAAAGGAAGGATCTCAGGATTTCTTTGCTTCAGTGACTCTCAAATGGGAAAATATGGCTGTACTGGTCCCCTGCAAGTCTTGAGAAGGTAGAAAGACTTTGGACCATGCAGGCAGTCAGACCTCAGGAGAGTGGAAGGTGTCTGCAACAGAGCCCAGAGCTTAGCTGGGTTGTACATGGTGTATTTATTAACAGCTTAGGTTCACAGTAGCCTTCAGGCTCATCCCTCTTTCCAGTCTGTGTGCTTTTTTCTCAGGTACTTGTAGAGCCTAGAGCGAGTCTTGCTCTTGCTCCTTGGCCCAAATTACAGCATGTAGCCCACCAATTCCTCATGTTCTCTTCTGAAAAATGCTGTCTGGACTGTGAGATCAAGGATTGAGGTCTCCATGTTTAACCACAGTGAGGTTCCTGCCACCCACAATTCCCCAGTTTCAGCTCTAGTTCCGTTTTTATTCCTCAGCATAAGTGCAGTGACAAAAGTCTCATGCTTTGGGTCATGGCCAAGCATGGGCTCCTCTGACTGCCCTGGCTGCACTCATAGTCTCACCCCCTGGGAAATGCACACATGAAGGATCCATAACTGCAAGACCATGGGACCATGGCCCCTACACGCCTGCCTTCTCTGTCATCCTGGCACAAGGCATCCCCCCTCACCTTTTATTAGCCAGCAGTTTTCTTATGAGAAAGAAAAAAGTGCCAAATCAGTGTCACACATCCAAGAGCTCTTCTGCATCCTCCTTCCCCTCTCCTGTCTATCCCTATAATTTCCAAGCACCTTCACAACCCTATCCAAAGCAACCATGGCCTCAAGATGTGCCACAAAAGCTGACACTACAAAATCAACTACTTGACTTTCAAAGTCATCCTGCCTGTGGGGAGCTATCAAACACAGCCCTTCTGGGTATTCCAGCAAAACCAGAGCAAAGCAACAGCATTACTGGGAGTTTAAATCTACCCAACATTGTTTTCCAGCAGCCATTTTCCTGCTTGATATTTTAAACATTTCTGAAGATTTCTATGCTGTCTGAATAGAAACAGCAGCAGCTCCCAGTCCTGAGCAGCAATTCACTCACAGTGCTGCTCTGAAATCTAAACCTGTGAGTTGGTGTATTCAATCTCAAAGGACTGGACCAGCATCTATGACCCAAACTCTGCTCACAGATTCATTTTATATCAAAGGCCACAGTTTTTCACAGTTCTTGATGCTGCTGGGTTCTTTCTCCTGTTGTATATATGCAGTACTGAATAGCACTATGGGGTATGTTTACCCTGTAGGATAAACCCAAAAGAACAATTCAATCACTAGGAAGGAAAAAGGGTTTTGCTGTGGGGCAAACCTATCTGAGTGTCAGTAACTGATGCCCAAATGGTACAAAGGGTTTAGTCCAACTCTCATTAATTTCTGGGACAGCTTCTTGGCTAAGTTACACACACTCCTTTGAACCATATCTTAAGGCCTTCATCCCCAAAGGAAAACAGCTCTTCAGGCAAAAATTAATGCAATGAATAAAACATTTAAGCAAGATCCTTGAGACTTTATTTTCCCTGTGTGTTTGCCCAGTGGGGGCCTGGCATAAACATGCAGGTCAGAGACAAAGCTACAGAACAAATAATTGGTTATCACTTCTGCCAGCCTTAGAACTAATCACTACATGGCTATCTGTACCACTCTTTCTGTCTTCTGCTTTTGACCTCTGCTTTAGTATGCTCTTTAAACAGATAATTCTGCAAAAGAGCTTATGTATTTTGCCACTCCACTCCTCGCAGCTTTAGGGAAAGCTCAGCAACTCAGTTCTTTATGTACCTTCAAAACTGCCAGCCCTGAATATTAACCCATTTCCCATTTTACCCTCACACTTCAGAGTTCTTCAGCACTAGAAAAGAACATCAGTAGACTTTTAATTCTCTTTTTACAATGGAAAAACATATTCGTCCTTCCTGCTGCTATGACAAGTAAAGGATGCAAGAAACAAAAGTTAAATGTTCCAGCAGAGTCTTAGATGTTCAGCCAGTTACCAGTCTCTCTTTCTTCATGCTGTTTTTATATCTCATGTCTTTATTCCCCCTTCCTTTCCCAAGCCAATACAGGCCCACTCCTACAACACTCTTCCCTGTCTTGGTGAAGGAAACATTTTGCTGACTAGTGAAGAAGAAATTCTAATTCTGTTTTCTTTACAGAAAGACTGGAATAGTCTCCTGAGGAAAGTCCTAGAAGGTCAATTGAGTGAAACAGTTAAAACAAGGTATGTTTTTCAGGAACAAAGGGGGAATACACTGTAGAGAACAGTCCTTAACTGGCAAGAAGTAAATGTTACACCTAAAGGTACAGAAAGTGCTTGATGATAGTGGGATGATATGGCTTCCACAGGGATTTTCTGCCAAGGAGGGGAAGAATAGCTGAGATGCAAAGGGAGATGTTTGTATCACCCCATTAGCACTGCCAGTGCACAGGACTGAGGAGACATGACACAAAGAAAATGCACCCCAGCATGTCCCTTCCCTCCCCTTAGCAGCATTTTGGATCCCTTTCCCCCCCCCGCTTTCCTTCGTTTGTCTTTAGAACACCTGTGCTATATTGACACATCAGCAATCCTGACTTTTCTGCCCCTGACACAATCAAATTTTGTAATTATTGAGGAAAGAAAAAAGAAAAAAAAAGAGCTTGTCTACCACAATCTGTAATCCACTTCCTGCATTTTTGGTGCACTTCTAATGCTTTTTGGAAAGAATTATTCTGTATTGGGCCAAATAACAAATGCTGCTGTGGGAAGCCCCTACAAGGAGAAAGACAACTGAAAAGAGGTAAAATCTTGTAGGTAGTGCTGTGAAGTCAATCTGACAGAAAGCATTCATTAGGATCTACAAGGGGCTTATCAAAATCAATATTAGCAGGGGAGTGGATAGTTTTGCAAATGAGTTACAGGGCAGGGGGGAAGAATCAAAGCACAGTTCTGCCAAAATCTCATCCACCAGGCATCATTCCTGACACATCCTTACCTCATGCAGGAACTGTACAGTGCTGTGGCTTCTGTCCAACATCACGGCCCCATCACATGAGGCTCTGCCAGTGACTCAGATCCACCACGCGTCTGCACTGGGGACACAGTCTCAGTGCAGGAGGGAGGAGCACCTGGAATATGACATCTAGTTGAGTCTTACTACACACATGAAACCTGTACAACATGCTAGTCCCACCTCCAGCCCATTTTATGACCAGATAGAGGAGGTCTCACCCACTGGGGGAACAAAAACACAGCAAAAATGTGAGCGTGGAGCTGTCCCAGAGATAACACTAGATCCCAGACTCAGTGTCTCTAAGCAGTCAGTGATCTAACACTAGTAGAGCACACGAGAGCACCCACAAAACATATGAAGAACACTCAGGCCCAGCATCAAAACCAAAACTGTAGTTAAAGTGAATGCCTGAACATAAGTTCTATACCACAGCACTGACCTTACAGAAAGTCTTCCTATAATTAAACCAAACTCCACAGCAAATGTTTATGCCATACTGTAATTGGACCAGCTGCAAGATCTGCAATGATGGAAACCCTTTGAAAAGGTTAGAATTATAATTCTATAATATAAGCCTATTAATGGACATTTTATCATTTAACAGGGAAAATACTTTCTTTCTTTCTCTTTCTTTCTCTTTCTTTCGCTGTAGATGCAGACATTGTGAGTAATTGTCACTCATACTATTTTTTATTTGCAAATGTTTCTCTTCCTTTGGGAATAGTAATCATGAGATCATTTGAAAAGAGGGCTTAAAGGCTTAAAAAAGTTATAGTATTTTGTGCTAAAAAGAAAGCTTTGAAAAAAATCTCTAAAGCAGTAGCATTTTATACTGAATAAAAGCTAGGAATAATAATATTTTCTTTTCTTTCTTTTCTAAATGCCACTTTGCAACTTCAGAATTTAGAATTCAAAAATCTACTTTATTCCCAGCTAAATATAGCCCTGCATTTAGCCCTAGCTGAGGTTAAGGTGTTTCTACAGGGAACTCCTATTAGTCTGCCATATTCTCTAACCACAGCTACAGACAATTTTTTGTCATTATTAACATGTGGTGCTGCATTTCCCAATGTTCTTGCAGGAATATGAATCACGCTGACATTCAGCAGGATTTGTGCTCCTAGATAATATTTGAAAATTCTACACATAAATATTTATATTCAAAATATTGCCTGAAATATATCTCAATAAAGCCACTGTTGCAGAGAGCAACAACAGAGTAGCATAAATAGTAACAGCAAAACCCAGGCATTGCACAGGTGAGGCACAAAGGTGGGTCTCACTGAGGGGGGAGGCTGAGCATGGTCCAGTGTGGGATAACACAGTGAATCACATCACTACAACCCTGACAGACCACAGCAGAGCAGAAATGCCCAGGAACAGCTGGCATTTCAGTGGCATTTCAGGCCAGCACTCAGTATACTAATTACAGCAAATGGCAATATCCTGTTCCAATGGGACAAGGAGCAATGGTTTTAAACTGAAGGAAGATTTAGTTAGAATAGATATAAGAAAGAAGTTTTTTTTTATAAAGAAGGTGGCAAAACAGGTGGAAGAGGTTGCCCAGAGAGTGGTAGAGGACCCATTCCTGGAAACATTCAAAGCCAGTTTGGATGGAGCTCAAACAAGCTGGTCTAGTGGAAGATGTCCCTGTCCATGTTGGGGGGGGTGGACTAGATGACTTTTAAAGGTGCCTTCCAACCCAAACCATTCTATGGTTCTCTGATTCTATGAAATAACACAGCCCTGGCCTGTAAAGCTCAGTCAAGACTCTTGCACTCCACAGAGCACATGTACATGGGCATCAGAGGGATTTTACCCCCACAGGCAGGGCCACAGGCAGGATGTAGACAAGACAGAGGCAGAGTGCAGGCATGGCTGGCTCCAAGGGGCTGCTATGAAACCTTCTGGCTGCAGGGCTAGGCTCAGTGGGCTCACATTTGTACTGCTGCACAGGATTCAGACAAATGGCAAGCCAGAAAATTCAGACTTCCATTTCCAAAGGTAGAGCTGGAGGGAGGGGAAGATAATTTTGCAAGGTTTCAGGGATGCACCTGAAGTGCTGCATGCTGGGATGGAGGCATGGAAACAGGACAGCTGGGAGATGGCAGCCCAGAGGATGGGGTAAAGAACAGTTCAGTGTCCTTCCAGATGGCCCCTGGATGACAGAGTAGAGTTTCAGCAGTGAAATCATTGTAGGAAAGCTTTCTTATCAGAAAGGAGGAGTGGAGGAAGGATAAGTATGTCAAATGAATACAAAAGCTGTGGAAACAGCAAATTTCTGGGTGAATTAGCATCAAGGGATTAGATAGTCATCTGGCAATACTTGTCTAAGATTTATATAGCCCTCAAAGTAAAGTGAGATACACAAGAAGTAGTTGCTGCACAAGTATTTCTCACAGGTGGTCAGGGGGAAAACCCTTAGCAATAAAACTCCAAAATGACCCAAAGAGACCCAGAAGCTACAAGCAGACATGTAGAGTTGAGAGAAGACTTTGATAAGCAGTTTTCCTATGTCAGAAAACAGCCTGCATGCACAGCACACATGTTCCCACAGAAAGTAGTTCCATGGTCCCATCATCTCTCCTCTCCCTCTCTTGTAAGGGAAATGCACCCACAAGGACCACTCCAGCAGGGAAGAAGGAGCAGAAAAGTTAATTCCATGGAAGGATACTTAAGAAAAGGAAGTTGCCTCCGTAAGACAGGTATTCACAAAATCAGCTTTGCCCCTGAAACAAAGATACAAAGCTCTTAACACAAAGCAAACATCGCAGCACTCAGTGTAAGTGTAGAGCTGTGGTGCTGGTCAGGCATGAGATCCTCAGCTTTGCCTCAAGGGCCACATTCCCCCTAGCAGTTACTCATGCTCTGGGTACCCAAGAGTGGTCTAGATAATCTTAGCAGAGTTGCAGCAGCTCATGCAGCCCAAAGTAAGAGGCATGGAAAACTCACCTGAGCTGTGATCTGCAGCTGATCCAAAAGCCAGCAAGTGAAAAGCTGCTGAGTATCTGCACAAGGCTGCTGAAGTGTCCTGGGAAAATTTCCACAGAAGAGTAGTGGATGCCCAGCAACATAGCATCCTTTTGTTAAAAAGCAGTAAGTTTTCAGTTTCCAAGTGTTGCATTATTTTTCTATTCATCATCAAGCAAGAGAGAGAGCAAATATATATGTGACTGATCAGATTACCTGAGTGATCCACCAATTTCCTTAGGCAAATGAAACAAACAGAAATGTTAATTCTGCACAAGAGCTGTACCTGGTGTATCATACCCTCCTCATATGGCCAGTGCATGTGTCACATAGAGCAGCAAATGGGCTTACTTTCATTAAAGTCCCAGCTTCAATAAATCTGTTGCTCTAGCAAGAGCTACTCAGTGCAAGCTGGTTTGAAAAAAATTAAACCAATTTTTTTTCTGCTTTAGTTGGCAGCTCTTCCTAACCCAAGTGACACACACTTTTTATAGAACCCGTTCTCTGCACACTATGGTGCTAGAGCATTCCCCAGCATTGAAATACCTTTGTCTCACATCTACCATTATTATCAGGTTTTTGCACGAGTTCACCAAGCCAAGATGTCAAGCAGACCAGCCATAATCTCTACCCATGCATGATGCACTGCCCTTGGTTCAGTGCTTCTGAAACAGCTACTGAGTGCAAGACTGGACTGATGCCCACATCTCAGCACAATTGCCAGGGTGACATGACCCAGCTGGGTTCCACATGATTTGGATACATACTGCAACCACATCACCCTGTTGCACTAGAAATAAACTTTCACAACTGCTAGTTGATAGGGGAAGGAGTGTGGTAAAAGGGCTGAGTGGGACAGAGTTAAGATTACAGTAAATGGGCTGTAATGTCACAGGCAGCAATAGCAGCCATGAGATCAGTTACATGCCATTAAGGGTGGTAACTCCTCATTTCCTTGTTTTTTTCTGGGTCTGAGTCTAGCATGTGGCTGCCTGAACAAATCAGCTTAATGCGTTTCTCCATCTGTTGGGATACAGTGTGCTAAGCTTGTATAATTTGTAAGTTAATTATTTACATATGTTCCTTAAACTGGAGGAAAAGAGAAAACTGCATGCAGGGAATGAGCAAGGATGGAGGAAAGGCTGGGGGACACCATGACGGCGTCCACCTCTGACCTCACTGCAGCCAGAACAGTTTGTTGGTTCCTGAGGATTTTCAGAAAAATAATATGAGTGAAAGAAAGGAATCCAAAATGTAGTCATTGGGTTTCCAGCTAAGAACAACTAATGCTGAAGGAACTTAAGGACTGTTATGAAGTCCAAAGTTACCCTGCTGAAGCACCAGGCTTCCAAGTCTGGCAGGAGGGAGGTGGGAGCCACTGGCACCCCGTGATCCTGCTCTCCTACTGCAGCTCACCACCCTGGGAAACATGCTTAGATATGTCCATGGGCTAAACAGTCCCTCAGATAAAGGTGCTCCATGCAATGTGAAGTGGAATCTTAACAATTTACCAAGACTTTTATAATTTCAGTGTTTACCAAAACCAGGTTTTGTGAAATAAATATATTCCTATCAAAAGAAAATGTTGTCAAAACCTTCTACAATTTGTTTTTAGCTGATTTCACATCACCCCATCTTACACTATAAGTGTAGCCTTCAAAACCACATTGAGGTCAAGAGAAGATGCATCTGGACCAGGCTACCCTGAGATGGTGCTCTCCCTTGCTACAGCATATTATAGTAACCACATTCTCATAAGAATTCTGGCCTGTGAGAAACAAATACAAAATTATATTGAATTAAAATTTCCTCTACAATGTCACGTTCCTCTTAAAATTTTATTCCTAATGCAGACTTCCCACCAAAATCAGTGAAACTGATCTCTAACCAATCAGACAGATGACAATTGCTGTGATTCACTTCTGATTTCTGGGAATGAGGGTCCTGGCTGGTTTTGACAAACAGACAATGCTGAGGAGAAAATGCCACAATACCGGAGAGATTTTCTGCAGTTCTACCTCAGAGAAGAAATTCTTAACAAGACAAGTAGCACCATCCTCTGGACATCAGTGGGAATCCAGCACAAAGCAAAGAGGCTTGGTCCCTCAGGTTGTGCCAGATTCAGATCTCTCCATGTGTGAGTTCCTGGTCTCTGCAGCACTTACTGGAATTCAGCATGAGGTCTCCACCCACCCTGTGCTCAACAGTCTCACAAATTTAATTCAGTATAAAAGAAAAGCCACAAGAGCAACAGATTAAAGTTATAAGGAAGAAGAAATCAGCTAAAGAGATAAAACTAAGGAAAAGCAATACATATCAGGCTGTAAGCAGAGGTCTTCTGAGAGCTATTTACCATACAGTTTTACAAAATGTAGATCACTATCACATTCTCCAGATTAACACAGAGTCATTGAGCCAAAGCATAGCACAGAATTCATTCTGAGATTTACATTAAGGAAGGTTTTGATTATGCATTAAGATAAAAGAAAATCTTGGGTTTTTTTTTTCATATT